GCTCCATGCCTGGTGAAAGTGCATCTGATGCTGGATTGAACACTCGGAAAGAAATGCGCCGTTGCCTTAGGGAAATTTTGGATAAAATTGGAGTTGAAATAGCAGATCGATTTTCACAGTTGCTAGAATTACAGAATCGGTTTGGTTTTCTCTGCACAACTGAATCTTTTACCAATCAGTTGAACTGTGAAGCTGATGAGCAGCTTACCGAACTCAGTAAGAAGTGTGTTGATCTAGCGCTTCTTTATCCAAATGACTTGAACGGATCTGAACTGTATGAGGACTATAAAGATATCATTGCTTCTCTCAAAAGAGCAAAACAATCAGTAGAAGAACTGGACTACTCTCCACAGGGGCTGCTCATATACATTTCATCAATGGGATTGGAGGCCTATAAAACATTGGCCACAGCACTGCAAATTCTGTTGACCTTGCCAGTTTCAGTTGCATCATGTGAACGCTCTTTCAGCAAAATGAAGTTGATTAAGTCGTACCTGTGATATACAATGTCTCAAGAAAGACTTACAGATCTTGCTATCCTGTCAATCGAACATCAAGTTGCTTCTTCCATTGATTTCAGCGAAGTTATTAAAGATTTTGCAGCCAGTAAATCAAGAAGAGCTGCATTTTTATTGCAGTCGTTTGTAAGAATTGATTTTGATTACATTATTTGTGCTGAGAATCAGTCCTGAATAAAAGAAATATTTAATAAATCTCATTATCCAGTAAAACGTGTGTGCATGTGAAAATAACAATTAGCAAGGGGGGGGGGGGGCTGGAGTATGGCGGCGGCAGTAACATTCACTCGCCCCGGGCGGCAAATTACCTAGTTACGCCACTGTTACCACGACTTCCAAAGAATGAGAAGATTCTACTTCGTACCCTACTATGCCTCCCCACCTTTCAATGTAAGTCAACCCTTCTATTGAGTTTTTTTCGGGCTTTTCAGTGCGTGGTCTCGTTAGCTAATATCTATCTTCCTCCCTTCATTATTGCCTTTAAATTCCTAAAATCTCTTATTAGAGCTATTCACACCTTATCATCAAGCACATCCCATCCATGCACCACTTAACAAGAAAAAACAATAATAATAACGATAATTCTATCCTTGAGGCTGTCATACCGTGAATTGGTTTCTCCCCAGCTGCACCCACTGAGCATAAATAGACGTACGTTGACGCATCTCCTACCTTTGTAAATGGTGGGTCGGCTGCCGACAACAAGCCAGGGCTTCACTTCGGGGATCCCCTGGCTCGACCACGTGCCCCACGTCCTAGTGAAATATTTGTACAAGAGGAAGAGGAAGGCCAGGAAAATGAGGCCAGACGTGGGAATTTCCACGCCATGGAACTCCATCTCTGCTCTCGCACCACGCCTATACAGCTAGCGACTGTGGATGAGAAAACCCGGCCCTCTCTCTTTCTTTTCATTCACTTGTCTCTGCCTTCTCTTTTTTTATTCCAGGATAGAGGAGTGCTCTGCACGATTCTCTTTGCAACTACGCAAACCATGCGCTTACAGTATCTGTGTTTTGGATCGTGTTCGTGATGATATGGGAAGGAGGACCTCTACAAGATCTGCAAAATATGACCGAAATCTCATCCAAAAATGTGCAAGTTATATTTTATGAACAATTCATTTATTAGATCGCATTCAACATCCCCACAGAAAAGAAATTTATTCCTTCCTTTACTCAATCGCATTTCTATCCATAAATAATTCTATGTATTTCCATTTTTGGGATTTAGTGCCAGAGTAGGGCTCTTCGCACAAGGAGAGGTTCATAGCATAAAAAAAAAACAACCTTGACTCTCGAGTAAGAAAGACCAATTGAGTAGGGCCATCTATAGGAAGATATGAAAGGCGATAATTTAATCAATTTTACGCCAGATGTCGGAGGCGTCTGCCCGAAGGCAAGATTATTCATAACGAAGGGGTTGTCGGAGGCTTAGACGGCCATGCACCCAGACGGAGAACTGCAGACTACTCCTGTCCATCTCCTGCTCGAGGGTGCATTCTTATTTTGTTTTGTAACCTGAGGTTGTGCGTTGTCGTGCATCCAGCGCCAAACCTGCCCCTCCCACTTTTCTTTCCAAGCGGGAATGAGGCATTTTCACACATTTTTCACATTTTTCTGCAGGCCCTCACGAGGTATGGGCAGCCTCTGAGAGAGTCAGTCGTGTTGGATTTCAACGCGAAGGAACATCAAAATTATCTGAGGTGAGCTGTTCCACGCTTGAGGAAGTCTAATCTTATCAGCGAATTGAACTCAAGTAGTGATGCCTAAAGTTAGTCCACGCTCTCGGTTTGAGCTTAGAGTCTATGGGAATAAGTTTATCTCGGTTGTGATCTAATTTGATCTTATTGTGAGATCAGATTAGTTTAGCTTAAACGGATTCGGTGCATGTCACCCATAATATTGTTTCTTTTCCTTTACTCCATAGGCGCATCAATAATACTGGGAAGAGGGGGGGGGGGAGCAAGGTCCAAACACTTGTGAAATAACATTGACGAAACCGTTCCAGGATCGAGTGAGGTAGCTCAGTGCAGTGGCGGATCCGTGGGTGGGGGAGGGGGGGAGGAAGTGGGGGGAGCTGGGCGAGGGACAAGGGTCCTCGCCCTTCCACCCCATGCCCTTACGTGGTGACGATCTCTCAGTTGGTGCTCTAAACAGATAGGAAAATCATATTTTTTTATAACTGTGACTGATGGACCTAACTGGGAATGAGTCGATATCATCCCAGAAATTTTTTAAAAATCCTTTTGTAAAGCCGTCTGAGCCAGGGGACTTTTACCTTTTGAAATTTTTTAGGACTTGAACTACCTCCTCTGGAGATATTTCGCCTTCTAATGACCATTTTCTGCTGCTCAGACAACTGTGGCCGATTCCGCAAGTCTGTCTCGTGATTCTGATACAAATTCGATCGGCGAGTCTGTTGAATAAAACTTTCTTTGTTTTGTTAGAATATCCGAGTGACTCCTGATAATCCCGTTTTCGGTCTGCAATTTAAATAAGAGCTGGCACTCATAGATTAGCCGTGTCTTGCCTCCTCCAGAAGGTTCCCGGTTGCCATGGCCACTGTGGACACGGGGGGGGGGGGGGGGGGGGGGGGGGAA